CTAGGAACAACCGTGATGGGCCAAGACCCCATTGTGCCAAGTGCTGTACAAACACAGAACAAAAAGATGTATCCTACCCCAAAAGACCATACATATTATTATCTCCCTATGTTGTAGAGTTAAGTGGCTCATACTATTACATTTGAGATGCATATTAGCCTAGTGAATTTGAAGTGTATATAGAATCCCACACCAAAAATAAAGAAATCAATACCTCACATATTTGATTGTCATCCAGTGACAATATTTCCAGATTTTCCATAGCACAGATCTCTCTAGGGAATTCATCAAAGAAATTTTCACTAAGATCTAATATCTTGATACAGGTTAATCTGGTAAAGGAAGAAGGTAGCACTTGCAAGCCAGTGTTTTTCAAATAAACAAGGCAAAGGGACATCCAATGGCAAATCTGACGTGGAAACTTTTCCAGGTTGTTACCAGACAGACCAAGCTCATTCATTTCTGTGAGCTGCTTGAAGTTAGGAGGGAGCCTACGCAGGAGGTTATTAGACAAATCAAGCACAGTCAGTCTCTGGCAGTGATGCAATGTATCAGGGACTGATAACAGGTTATTGAAAGCTAAAAATAGTTTTACTAAATTTGTCAAAGAGACAATCTCTTCAGGGACAAAACTCACTAGATTTTGTTCCAGATCTATTATTTCCAGATTAAGAAGATGACAAAGCTCCAGGGGAAAGCTTTCAAATCTGTTTTTTTGCAGGTAGATCTCTTTAAGTTTTCTCAGATTCACTATTTCTTTAGGCAGATACCTTAGATTATTGCCAGATAGTCCAAGCAGCTCAACATGATGGAGGCATTTACAGATCTCCACTGGGAACTCATCCAAGTTTACATCATAGAGCCTGAGCTGACGGAGTGCCTGCAGTTTGCTGATGATATGCAGCGAACTGTAAGAGAGTGGATTGCTACTTAAATCTAAGTTCTGAAGATATTTCAGCTCCCCAAGTTCTTCACAGATGTCGTGTATATAGTTTTCATTCAGATAGAGAACTTTCACCTTCTTAAGATGATGGATGTCTCCTGGGATGCTTTCAATTAAGTTTTTTTCCAAGTGCAATTCTTCCAGATCTTCCAGTTCAAAGATTTGTAAAGGGATAGTTGTCTGTTGCTTATTGGCTAAATCAATAAAAAATATCCGATCTGTGACGTGTACAGGTAGAGCGTCCTTCTCTAGTTCTTTCGTCACTTGTGTTTCCTGTGAAATCTGCAAACTATCCTTCTCAAGAATTGTGGTATCTGCTCTTGAGAAATGAACATTCACTGGGTTGGCATCAGGGCTCTGCTGAAACTCAACCATCTGTGCTACTTATTTTTAACTCTAAAGAGAAAAAAATAAGGAATCAGCAGTACTCCAACTTTAACCCACTTAAATAACAATAAAAGGATGAAATAGTTCAATATTTAGGGACAGACTCTGACTTCAGATGCACCCATACCACTGAAACTGATGTTACCCACTGACATCCAAAGCTTGAAAGAATGTAAATAAAGGCATTTTTTGGCCCTTAGTGTATTGGTAAAGGCACAAAGGGACAAATTCAGTGGATGAAATGCTATTGAAGTCAACAGAGATGCATCTGCTTACATCATGACTGAATTTAGCCCAATGAGCCAGAAAATCCTAGGTATAAAATTATATTTTGTTCTCAGCTATACCAGTGTAAATCTGGAGTAATGCCACTGAAGCTAAAGCAGTTACTGCAATTTATACAAGTGCAACCAAGAGCAGAATTTGGACCTATATTGTCAAGTGATTTTAAATTGAATAAACAGTTCTTACATAGTGTGTTTTGAAATACTTCAAGCGAGGTCTTGAATTTAAGTTTTATGGGCCAGATCCTCATTTGGTGTAAATCAGCATAGCTCCATTGAGCTATAAAAGTTTACACCAGCAAAGGAGATGTGCTCATATTCTTAAAATGTTTTCAGTACAGATCAATTTGAATTTCTCCTCCCAAAATTCAGTGTTTTTTTCAAAATTTCCAGTTTACTGGAGCACCAAACAGTGATACCTCCTGGAAATTAGATCTTTTCTATCATTAAAGTGTCCCGATTTTCATATTCTGCTATTCCTTTGGAACTTTTGCTCAACTGGGGCATGATCTTGATTTCAGTTGGAGTTGATGAACCTAAGTAGCATCATGCCTTTATAGGTTCAAAGGCAGCAAAACACTTAACTTAAAGCATGTGCCTATGCGCTTTGCTGAATAGGAAGAGGATTATTCACATTTAAGGCTAAGGACGTGTTTAAATGCTTTGCTGAATCAGGACCATAGAGTTGTCCTATGGGTTTTGTGTAACAGGCATCATGTTGGATATAGTTTTATGATTATACTGCCCCTAGCACAATGGCCCCCAGATCTCAGCTGAGGCCTCTGACCACTACTGTATTACATAATAATTCAATAATAGCAGAGTTTTACAAATGATATCACCATTTTACATGACACATATTACTTCTATAGTTTCTGACCAATATGGACAAGCTTAAGTGTCATTTGAATCATATGTATATATGCATTTAAAATCCTAGGATTGCAGAATGTTACTGAATAAAGGAAAATGAGGAATAATAGGAAGAGGAGATGATTAGCTCACTTGCATCCGATGTCACAAACCTACTGGGGTGGATGTCACAATCCCACAAGTCAATGTTCAAAGAGCAGCAGCAGAGAAAGCAATGGGAGGAAAAACCAAGAGGCTAGTGACTGACTCATTTACCTCTACATCATAATCTCACCTGAAAGGATGTCATAATCCCAATGATGAGCAGTTTGCAAGCACCAGCAGAAAGGGAGAGAGGAATGAAAAATATACAAAATAACAAGTGGTATAGAGAAATTGGAGTCAGAATGTCTGTTGCCCCGTCTCATAAAACAAGAACAAGGGAACAACCAATGAAATTGAAAGGCAGCAAATTCAAAGCTGATAAAAGGAAATACTTTTTCACACAAGCCATAAATTAGACTGCAGAACTATTGTCACAGGATGCCCTTGAAGCCAAGAAATTAGCATGATTCAAAAAGAGATTGGGCACTTATAACAAGAATATCCAGAGTTATAATAGTAAATGCTAAAAAAAAAAGTTTTGGAAGGCATATAAAATCTCATGCCTTGGGATTTAAACCAATCTCTGACTATTAAGGGCTATGAGGAGAATTGTTAGGGAGCAAATTATCCCTCATCTGCCTACTGCAGGGTTTCTTGCACCTTCTTCTGAAGCATCTAGTGCTGGCTACTGTCTCAGCAGGATATTGGACTGGATGGACCACATATCTGATCCAGTATGGTGATTCTTGTGTTCCTATGAATGGAAAAAGAGATGGGGAGCGAGGAAAAGAAGCTCAGATTTGGAGACAAAGCAGTAGCCATCATAACCATCCAGGTTGGAATTACCAATTTCTAATACAATGGGAGAGTCCCCAGTTTTCTATTTTTGATGTAGAAACAAAGTTTGTGCACTGTCATACACCCTGCTTCTGCCATGTGAGAGGCAGCAGCACATGTCCTGTATATAAGGGTAATATTAAGATAGTGACAGACAGTAGAAAAATGTATTAAATGAGAGGGACAGATACAGACACCTATGTGTAACAGGGTAGTTGCCCCTTTAAGGGTGTCCGGAGGCCTGGGACCAACCTGCCCTGTTCAATTATCAGAGACAGTGCTGGAAGGGTAAGAACTCCCTATAAAGGGATGAGAAAGCTCAGTTGGAGGCCTGGAGAGTGTTGGGTATTAGTCCTTCCCAGGTGGGGGAGACAGACCAGTGGCCTACATGTGGTGGAGAACACAGGTTGGTGAAGTTGGGTGCAGAAGATGGTGCACTGGTTACAGGACCTTGCTACCTGTTGGTTGTGCTCAGAGACTAATTCTGTGGAGACAATTATTGTCTGGTGGTTCTGGACCCATTCTTGTAGATCCTGCCTGTGGGAGCCCAACGTTGGGTAAAGTGGTTTTGGCCATCATCCAGGGAGAGACCTGAGCAGAGTGGAAGTGTCCCATGGGGGAGAGCAAGAATAGGAGGTTGGGGGAAGCTCTCAAGGGGTCAGAATCCTAGCTAGCCCTAGACGTAGGGTTTCAGAAGGGTTCAGCTCCACAGTGTTGGAGAATTTCTGTTGGGGGGAGAAGTCCTGGTGGTATGTTACTGATCCAGCAAACCTGGGCACATCAAGAGAGATTGCCTAGTAATAAAGTGCAATTATGCAGGGTGCTATTTCAGCCAAGGGGTGGGAGCGGGGGAGGGAGGACACTGCCTCCTAACAATTCCTCCATTAAGTAACATGTAAGGCATCCATTAAAGGGACACACAAAGCAGGTCAGAGCACCAGAAAAAGGAGTTCTTCCAGTGAAGTCTGTAAGGGGCACCCCATCAACCTCCAATTTCATAATTCTGACAAATTGATGCCATCACACGATGAGAGACAACCAATTTCAAGGCTTGTGTGAAGGGGAGAGGGAGGTGGACAGTTCATGGCTTTGCAGGGAGGACCCCAATCAAACATCCTCCTGTGGAGGGATCCCCAAGTTTATGGCTTTTCAGAATAGAACTCCTCTGTATGGAGAGGTATTTTCATGGCTGTGTAGGGGGACCCTGCTCCCATATGCTCTTCATGGGGAGGGATCCCCAGGCTCACGGCATTGCAGAGCACCCCAGTTCAATGCATTCACTGGGAGGGATCCCCGGTTTCACCCCGTT